TTCTAAATGTTTCATTATGACCAGAGAAAACACTGTCTACATATTTGACATGAGACTTTAATGATATGATTAAATTTCCTACTGAGTGTTCCTACTGTTTGATTCCACCAGAGGGCGCCCAAAACTAACTTTAAATGCAGCATCACTCTGCTCCTTAGTAGTTTATAACAGTGGTTTTCAAACTGGGGTCCATAAGATGGTCCCCAGCAAAAGGAGGAATAGAATAATTTAACTTAGGGAAATAGGGCCCTTTTTATTGATTTTAATTTAGAGTGATCCCAGTTTGATCATTAATTGACTTTAAAGACTTTATAATCGCAAAACCTAAACCTAAATATTCAGAGGGGATTCCTTAAGACAAAATCCTCTCAAATTGGGGGTTGTGGTTTAATGTGTATCTATTTCGGGGGAACCTTGACATGAAGTTTGGGAATCCCCGGTTTATCACACAACTTTGTGCTTTTATCCATGCCATATTGAAGCCAGTCCACAAATCTTAATCTCAAAAAGTGATTGAGGTTGTTTTTTTTATCCTCAGGTATTCCAGTCAAGTCAAGTCAATTTTATTTAGCCCTATATCAGAAATATCAAATTTGCCACAAAGGGCTTTACAATCTGAACAAAACACGAAGGTCTAGAATAGTAGAACTAGTTTATTTGGATTGGTGAGAGGATTTGGGAAGACTAGATGAGGGTCATGTACAGTTGGAAGATTAGGGGTTGAAGAGAGGGATGAAGGGGTCGATTGCTGGGGGATGAATGGGAGCTGAAGGTTGTTTAAGGTTGTGTATGGTAGGATGATTGGGTTCAAGAAGAGCGATGAGGGGGTTTGATTACATGGAGACTAACGTGGAACGATTAGAGTCATGATGTGGCTGGAGCGGCTAGGAACCCAGGTGTCGAAACTTTCTGCATCATCATCCCCCAGTGGTTCGTATTAATAGAAGAAGAAGAAGAATTACTTGAATACACCCCGACAAGCATGTCTTTGACGATAGGAGGAAATGGTAAGTGGACTGTACTTAGCCTTCGGACCACACAAAGAGATTTACAATGTATGTCACATTCACCCATTCAAACACTGATAGCAGAAGCTGCCATGCAAGGTGCCAACTGGTCATTCAAAGTAGGAATCAAACTGCCAACCAACTGATTAGTAGACAACCCAATCTACTTTCTAAACCACAGCCTCCCCAAAGTACTTGACAGAAACTCACAGAGGGGGGAGAGTCGGCGATTGAGAGAAACACGAGAGAAAAGGTTATACATGCTAATGAACACTATTGGTTTGTCAACCTTAACTATAACAACTTGATAAAAAAAAGGCAACAGGAATATAAAATAAAGACACAATAATAATCATACCTCTGAACCAATTGGTTCACTACCTTTTTTTTAAGGTGGAACTACACATTCTTAATTTAATGTCACAACCCCACAACAGGTTTACCCTTTTGAAGAGACAAGAGGAGAGGCTGAATCCCCTGGAGGGCAAACATTCAGATCTAAAACATCTGGAATTAGGCACTGACAGTCTTTAGAGAGAGAGAGGGGTCCCAGGACGGCCAATGGTCCACTGTACACTTGCCTTTGCTGCATGACATCCCCTCTCTTTCTCCCAACTTTTCTGTCTCTCTCTGCTACTGTCTAATAAAGGTTATAATAAGCCCAAAAATAATCTTTAAAAAAATGATAGCATTGAAATGCCTGAGTGAACTGTTTCAAAGTGCTGAAGAGGTGTCAGGGAGTGCAGTCATATGTGATCTAATTAAATGGCCCTTTAACAAATACACTTCTTTGGAGCTTATTATGTTAATATTTATGTCGATAATGTGTCAGAGAGGTGTAGATTCAATACATTTTACATTATAATGCAACACAAAACTTCACATTACAGGCATAGAGTGGAAACAGCATCCTGTGTGTACATTTGACTGACTGAACATTTGATTCATGACATTGTGACATGATGTGACATTGTTATAGCAGTAAATATCCATTTGTCAAGATAATCATTTGATTATCTGTGCTTGAGTTTTGTGTTTACCAGACACTGATAAGCAAGTGTTCCTTTTTCAACGTCCATTTAAGCAAGGTTAATGTGTTCCATCGTGCCAATTGAGCAATTTGGTCATCTGTGACTACTATTACGAACAAATAAATAATGAGAATTAGTCTGACCCAAATAAAACGTATCTGTTATCCATGTGAGCTTAATCTCTGTGCGTCATCTGCCTATACATTAACCATAGACTGCTGGTTTTAAGACTATACCTGTCAGGATTATGTCCAGTCCAACCCCTCTCTCCTCTAACTGTCCTGATCTGTAATTAGATATTATTGCAGGCCGATCAACATGCAGTAACACAAGCCTTCACTTCTAAATTACTGCTCTGCTGCCACTCCCTCTGTCATTCATCCCTGTCTTTGATTGGTTCAGTGAGGTTCAAGGTGAAAGACAAGTCTCTGATGAAAGTAGTTTGAAAGTTTTTTCTTTGTCTTTTTACACTTTCTCCATTAAAAAAAAATCCATCCCTCTTCTGTCGTTTCATTTTGTTCATCCATCCTTCATGTTTCCTGTCTCACATGACTGATCTGTTCCCAAAATACAACCCCTATTTTTATCCTTCAAGTGCATGTAACTTAGCTTTTCTGTAATGGATCTCTTTTCTGCCTCCACTCAAGAATTTGCCTCTCCCCTCCCATCAATAATCGATGAGGAGCGGGACAGCGAGAGGGGCTGAAGAAGGACAGGAAGGCTGAGCTGAACTGAATGACGGGGTTGAAGTGATTAATGGAAACCTCATTAGGAACTGGAGAGAAGTCAAGCTATACATTATACCCTCTGTCTGGAGAATATACACTATCAGGGTCCGTTTCAGTTTGAAAGGGAAATGTTTAATGCGGGTTAATAGGAGATGCAGAGAGGGAAAGCAGGAGAGGCAGAGATGGAGGGAGATTTCAGGTGAGGTAGTTAAGGCCAAAATACGACGAAAAGGGACACTCTTTATCTACTCAAAGCTGAAAAAACACTTGCCTTTTGGACTGGAAAGAGGGAAAGAGAAGGAGAAACAAATTGATCGGTTGTTTTATTTATAGAAAGCTGCTGCTTTTAGTGGAATTAATTACTTTAGCTAGCTACAAAGCTATAAGGCTGTTTTAGAGAGCTCAAAAGCACAATAATATGTTTACACGCTTGACAGAACATGCATGTCTAAAAATAGAGGGCAGTGGTGACATGTTCACCTGTGTGTGCATGTGTGTGAGCTCAGCCATGCTTGCTGGATGAGATTATGCATGCAGGGCAACACTGAGGTGATGTGTTATAGCTAAACAAAAGTCTTTCAATCATCACATATATGCTGAGTTTGTTGCATCCCTCCCTCTCTTTCTATCTCTCTCTGTCACCTAATGAAAAGCTGACCTGGGCACCTCCAAAAGAATCCAATTTGTGTTACAACAAAGGCTCCGAATATAACAGGGGGATTGAGGGCAGATAGACTGAGAGAGACGGGGAAAAGGAGAAGCATGGAGAGTAATGAGGATTACTGTCAGAGGAAAATGATGATTACAAGAAATACGCAAGGATGAGAGGAAAGATAAAGACAATAAGAAAAAGATGAGTGAAATATGGCAGAAATACACGATAGGAAAACACAACTGAAAAGCATATTATATATATATATATATACATATATACACACACTGATTACTGGAAGGGTAGCTGTGTCAAAGCACCCAGGCAACAAGAGGAGAGTGTTTACCTGTGATGAATGGGAAAAGGTGGAAGAAGGGGAGGAAGAGAAGGAGAGAGATAGGTCGATGTGTTACAGGTAGATAACGTGAGAAAGGTAAAGCTCAGGAGGTATAAAGTGTCACATAAAGGACCAAGCGATAGCGAGTGGGGGCAGAGGTGCAGGAACTCAATCCCAGAGCAAAGACAACAGCTGATGATAAAAACCTCCTCACCTGCACGCACCAAGAGAGAGATATGGACAGAAGCACAGTGCAACACTGAGGAAAACAACTGGAGGAAATACAAGGACAGAAAGGAAGACGTAAGAGGAACATAAGAACATTCAAGTTATTATTTTTCCTGGAAAAACCTTCATTCATTCAGCCTTTTTTTTTCCTGGAACAAAGGACTTGACTTGAATTTTTAAGCACTTTTTGAGGGAAAACTGAAATATATCTAATTATACACACACATATATATATATATATATATATATATATATATATACATATATACACAGACATACATATATCTGTAGGTAACTTTGTGGGTTATTTTAGCACATAAAAAAAAAAAAAATCAAGAGCTGCCGCAGAAGAGAGGAGAGCAGGGAAGAGGCAAGAGAGAGGGTGAGGGAGGGGGAGGGCGAGTGAGAGAGAGAGAGTGTGTGTCTGTGAGCCTGTGACACCGAGATGTTCATGCTCATTCGAGAGCCGTCTGCCGGAGGAGGCGGTGCTGTAGCGATGAGCACGCCACAGGAGAGGAGTGCAAAACAGGTATGTGAATCTATATATATATATATTAATATACTGTGTGTGTAGAATGTAATTTTGTGTGTAATTCTAACTCTCTTTACAAACAAATTCTCTTTCATGTAGATGCATTTATATTAATTAAATTTTGCATGAATTTGTGATTGTGTTCCACAAGAAATGGTAACTTAAAGATGAGCCTAAACTGCTTTTGAAGAGTAATTGATGGAACTGATGAAAAACACGTGTTTGTTTTCAGAAATTACTGTAAATGTAAATTGGTTTAAAAACTCTCCTATATCTTAGGCCAAGCCATAATTACCTTATCATACTTTACAAAGCTTAACCAATGTTGTTGTTTATTGCATTATCATATGTAAATAAAGTAAGTAAAGTATATTTATATAGCACCTTTCTAGATCAGATTGCTTCACAATAAAAGACAATAAATAAAAAAATATATATATATATAAGTAGACAAGATGGTATTGATTAAGACATTTGAACTATTGGCCACCATATTTTGCATCTATGTACACTACAGGTGTGTGCATTAGTCTTGAGGTTACACAGATCTGGACTCAGGTCCTCATCGACTCTGCTCTCCCCCTTCTCAGGTGCAAGCCTCCATCAAGAAGAAGCTGGAGAAGCAGAAGAAGCGAACCAGTGAAGGTGGAGGGGGTGCTGGAGACAGTCAGACAGCTACACCTCAGCCCGCTCGCCAACAGAAATCCGCTCAGACCCTGCAGGCGTCAGCTGCGGCCTCTGAGGACAGTCATTCGCTGGAGGAGACGCTGGAGGAGATGATGGAGGGGCCACAAAGGAGAGAGAGGGAGAAAGAAGAAGTGGAGCCTGTCGACCTGCTTCCCATAGTGGACTCTGTGTTTGGACAGGTAGGAGTCGTCTGCTGCAGTGTGTGTGAAATGTGAAATATAAAATGTGGAAAATGTGTGTGTCTGACACTTTTGTGTGTGTGTTTCATGTGCCGCTCATCAAGCTCTCCGGCTGATTGAATGTCTCGTCAGCAGCTTGATTGTAACTCTAGGCCTCCAATTGAAATTCAAAGCCTGGCTGTGCTCCAGCTTTTTGTAAATAGCCATCTCTCCTGCACCCTTGACCTCCTTGGTGTCACATGGCAAAACAGGCCATAAAGCTGCGTTCACTGCAGCCACACAAATGCTAACCCTTTTGCCTTCTCATTTAACCCCAAATCCCTCTGGAAATGGCGGAAGCGGCAAAGCACGAGGGCTAAAGCTAAGGATGGAGATAGTGTGTGTTTGAGAGGATTTAAACTCCTTTACTTTGGGAAACATTATAATCCGTAACAGATACAGCCATAGTCAGCCAGAGATCTGATGAACACCGTATCTCTGCTCAGTATCACATCACTCACATGGTAAGCAGTGATACAGGACACGGCACGGTAGGCTACACCATTGCAGCATCTGTCATCCTGGGGTCAGACATGTAGGATCATTGTGTGTGAGAAAGTGGTGGGTTTCTCTGTGTGTATGAAAATAAAATCAAAAGAGATTACGCCACAGTAAAAGCTCCACTGGCTTCCTGCTGCGGACTTCAGCATGGATCATGAGTCACTCTGCTTTTTTTTTCTTTTTTTTTTTTTTCCTGAGTCCACCTGATCACGTCAGCAAACTCTGAAGGAGGGTGATGATGAGTGTGGCTGAGGTTACAAACAGGATTTCAAGATAGAAAAAAAAAAAAAGTGATGTCAGTAATGATGCAAGTGATCCAAAATAAGAGAGAACGGCTGAGTGAGTGGGAGAGAAGATTTATCTTTTCCTCGTTTCACCGTAGGGTTCCTCGGGGTCCCTGAACCTCACTTTGACAACTGGTGCATTTTAGGAGGAAACTGGTGTATAACAAGCATAGACACAGCGAGCATGTGGTATTCCCAGAGACCCTCAGCCCCCACATACTGATCTGAGATCAAACAGACGGAGCTTGAAGAGCACTAACTCATCATCTTCTTAAAGGGATATATAAACAAGCGCAGTTATACACATTACATCATAGCCAAACCAGGAACACTTTTACAGATCTGTAATTTTGGCTTCACCAAAAATCATAATGGATCATTCTCACCCAGTAGCTCCCTTCTTTGGGAGGCAACACTGTTTTAATTGGTTTAAAAGAAGTACAATGAAGCAATTTGACCCTAGGAGGGTAAACATTTGATCCACTGTTTTGTTTCTGGTTTGTTCTTTTCTTTATATGCTGTGGTGAATGTTGTCTGCTGAGCTCAGTGAACTCAATTCATTTCATAGAATGATTCCAAGAATAATGTTAATTTTTACTAATTACAGAGAAAGAACAACTCAGTTTAAAGCCTGTTATATATGAATTGATTATTTAATTATTATTGCACAATTTGTGCTTTATATATCTTGACACTGAATTTAGGTTAGTTGGAATTGATTAACTGGAAATTAAATAATTAATTAAGTGTGAGTGCATGTGTTACTTATAATTAGTATCAAATAACATGATTCTATTTAGGAAATTAAGAAAGATCTTTTAGGGATCTCTCCATCCTGTATGCTACTTTATACTTTACTCCATTATGTTTATTTGTCAGCTTTACTCTTTACTGTCAAGATAAATATTCTAAATTCAAAACACATGAGCACCATATAAAATACATTACTACTGAGGAAATTATCCAGTATTATATAATGTAGTTAAAATGCACTCAATCGTGACCAACTTCTTACATGTTTATGCATCACTACTGATAATAGTCATAACATAACATAACATAGGATGCAATGAGAACTGTTTTATGTGATCATTAATCATTAAATTAAATGTTTTTTAACACATTATTTTAAAAAATAATCAAAATGAATGTGTTTGCGTTGACAACATTTGACACCAAACTAGGGTGTCAATTTTTGTGACAGTGGCTCTCATAGGATTTTTTTTGTGGTGCTACACCATGCCACCCCTCTAGATCTGCCCCTGCTGTAATAGAGTATTTTTTACGTCGCCGTATTTATACTTCTTATACTTCTTCTTCAATCTGCCTCCTTCTCCCCATCTATTCTGTCTCTTCTAGTCTTTCTCTGATTGAAAGCCCTCGTTACTGGACACCAGTTGGTCTATATCTGACACCACATCAGTACATGATATGTCTAGTTTACCTGTGCACACACACATGCGCACACACACACAGTC